AATATTGTTCTGGCATGTACTTTCCTACGCTTTTAAAAATGCAAACTGAAAAGACAGTAATTCCATTAAGTAGCATTGTAATGATACCCACATAGAATGACCAAAACTCATGAATAAACATAATTTGTTGAGAAAGAGTCAACATGGCTTTTTAAAGAGAAATCATGCATCACTAATCTATTAGATTTCTTTGAGAGATCAAACATGTCAGCAAATGTACTTGAACTTTCAGAAAGTCTTTGACAAGGACCCATACAAAAGGCTCATAAGAAAGTAGGGAGTTGGTGGGGGGAGGGTAAAAAAGTCCTTTCATGCATCAGTAATTGGGTTGTAAAAAAGGAAAGGGTAGGAATACATGGTCAGTTTTTACAGTGGAGAAAAGTAAACAACAAGGTCCCCCAAGGCTCTTTAATGGACCACATCTGTTCAACATATTCATAAATGATCTGGAGAAAGGGGTAAACACAAGTGCTACAGTTTTCAAACAGTACAAAATTATTCAAGTTCAATGCTAACTGCAAAGGGTTACAAAGAGAGCTCACAAACTGAATGACTAGGGAACAAAATGGCAGATGAAATTCAACAATAAATGTGAAGTAATGAATATTAGAAAACATAATCCAAACTATACATATAATATGATGGGGGTCTAAATTAGCTGTTACAATCCAAGAAAAAGATCCTGGATATATAGTGGACAATTTTCTGAAATCAGCCACTCAATGTGCAGTCAAAAAAAGCTAACAGAATGTTAGGAACCACTAAGAAACAGATAAGATGACAGAAAACATCATACTGCCGCTATATCAATCCATAGTACACGCACAATTTGAATACTACATGCTTTTCTGGTCACCTGTCATGGGTTTCAGGCTTCATCACCAGACTGGCATCTCTTCCTACTCATGTTGGAGAGTCTGTACACTGGCACTCTGTCCCTACTCCTGAATATAGCTCCTATCTCAGCTCCCAAGACTGCATCCTCTTCTCAGCTCAGCCCTCTGACTGCCAGAAACTGAGCCTGGATGACAGGGGATGGATCAGTACTTGCCCTGTTCTGTTCATTCCCTCTGAAAAACTGGCCTTTGTCAGAAGACAGGATATTGGGCTATATGGACCATTTGTCTGATGCAGTATGGCCATTCTTCTGATTTTATTTCTTGGTTCTATTTAAATAAGATACAGATGAATAATCACAATGGCACCCAAGATAGATATGTCAGGTGAGGTAAACATTCTACAAAAGAATGAACCCTTGAGCCATACCCTCCAAATACCATTACCTGTAACTGTCAAAAGGATTGTTTCACCTGATGTAACCAGGAAAGGAGCCTTTGATGGCTTTTGATAGTAAAACAGCTACTGCCAATTAGTGTAAAGTAACAGAATTTAATAAATATAATGCACCAAAAAGCTAGATTTCAAAGCTGGGATACTGAGGTCCTTATTTATATATTTTTTTAATGTGAGGAAAAATGTTATTGGATACGTGACAGCATTTTATCTGATAGGTTTGCATTATATGAATGAAATGGCTATTCAGTGGCTGAGACATCACATGTCAAAATCTTGAGATGGTCATAAGCCTCTGGAGCTAAAATAGCAAGAGCAAAAATCTACAAAAAAGAAGATTTTTATAAAAATAGAAGTGCAGAGGGGTATTCAACATACGATTTTTTAATAATATTGTGATATTATTCAAGCTTATTGAATACAAGAAAACTTCAATTCTGTACATCCATTTCAAGGGTGCTATGACTTCAGAAACCACTTGAGCTTTATTCCCCCCCATATTTATCGTCATCAAAACATCTTCATATGTACATCTCAAGATAGCTGTTTTTTTGACTGTGGTTGCTTGCAACTGGCCCCCTAAAGGGCTCCTGGAACTTTACTGGGGAATCATAAGCTTACCCCATGTTTTCATTGTACGTTCCTCACTCCAATTTTTGTATATTAGCTGTCAACATCTTTTATTGCTCTGAACCAGTTCCTAAGTGGTTTGACCCTGACCCTGCATGTAAGACTTTTTTCTTACTTCCTATTGTTTGTATTCACTCAGGACTACTGTATATAAAGGAGTGAGGGAGAGCAATAGCAATAAGCTTCTTTCCTTAGAGGATTGTAGATGCAGCACGTGGATTTTGATTTCAAGTTCCATTATACAAAGGCTCATCTAAAAACTGTTGGTTTATGGAACCCTGATTGAAGTCTATAACCTACTATGCAGAATGATGTGGGAATGAGAGGGAGATCTGAGAAATGATAGTGTCTGTAGTAATAGAGATCCAAGTTCATTTTTTTTCAATTATAGCTGTCCAGTCCATAACAGAGGATTCCTGAAGGGGAGGGGAAGGGCAAAAACAATATTTTCATTCTTGTTACCATAATATCTGATATAACAGAAGCAGAGTGGATGTCAGGCAAGAAGGCTGAAGGACTACAAAGTACATGTACCAAGGCAGAGGTCAGCAATGTCCAGCTCGTGTGCCATAAGTAGCACGCAAGACGATTTTCAGTGGCACAAGCAAAAAGTG